CTGTGAGAGGTACTTGCAGAGGGAAAAGTTGGAGGGGGCAGCGCATGAGTTTACTATTTAATGCAACGTATTACCCCAGTGGATGGAAACGCTAGGCTGGCAATTTTTACTTCTTTAGAGGTTTTTTATTTTTTAAAATCAGTTAGTGTGTTTTGAGCTATATTAACTCACACAGCCTCAGGATATTGAGTCTTTTGGTGTAACTTGCTCAAGCCTCCATCCCATAGACCATGGATGTCTGAGGGATCCCAAGAGGTTGGTTTCTCATTCTCCTAGTTATATCACCTTGGATCCCTGAGCCCTCTGGATTTCTGGTCTTTTCTTGTCACCTGCCCTTTGAGTAACAATTTCACATGCTCCTTTATTCTCCAAAGCTCCTTTAACATAAGGTTTTCTGTGCAGCAGGCTTTTCTAAGGGCTGAGGATTACTAAGGAGGCTATAGGCAGCCCCAAGCATGGAATAATCCACAGGAGAATTTCAGACTTCTCGGAGCTTAGAGGCCCAAACCACATGCTGTATGGAGGTTTCAGTGGTCATATACCTGGGCCCCAGTATCTGCCATTCCTTGGATCTGTTCTCTTTCTTCCTCCCTCATTCCTAGATCTTTCTCCCATTCCAGAGCCTTGGAGACTCTCTCTGCCTGGTTCAGAAAAAAGAAACAAAAACTGGTGACCCTTTCAGTGTAAGCTAGCTTTCTTTGGTTTCAGTCCTCTTCCATTTAGACTATCCCATTCTTTTTAATTTTTTTTTTTTAATTTTAAAGACGTGGGGTACAATTCAGGATTAGGTATACAAGTGGTCATCGTACAGGTAAAGTTTGGGCCTCTCTTTGGTCCCCACTTTACCTGGTTTGAGCTCAGGCACGCTTATTGATGTTAGGTGTCCCCCTCCCCTCCCTCTCCTGGCAGTTTCACACAATCCCATTCTTAACCAAAGGGCCTGTTCTGGAATGCTCTAACCAGCAGAGCCATCCACCCCACTCACCTGTCCTGGGCTGGCACCTCTAGCAACTCAAAGAACAGGAAGGTGTTTTATTAAAGTTTTCCATTTTTAAAAATATACCTAAGAAGTACCTGAAAATATACTTGTTGAAAAAAAGAAATGTAGGCCAAGTACGGTGGCTCATGCCTATAATCCCAGCACTTAGGAAGGGGAAGGCAAGAGGACTGCCTGAGTCCAGGGGTTTGAAGCCAGCCTGGACAACTTGGCAAGACCGCATCTCTACAGTAAATTTTTTTTAAAGCAGCTGGATGTAGTGGTGCATGCCTGTAGTTCTAGCTTCTTGGAAGACTGAAGTGGAAGGATCACCTGAGTCAAGCAGGTTGAGACTACAGTGACCACGATCATGTGCTGTACTTCAGGTTGGGTGACAGAGTGAGATTCTGACCCCCCAAAAACAACTCAAAAAAAGAAAGAAAGAAGTTTAAACTACACTGACAAATCACACTTTCCCTTAATGCTTCCCCATGCTTTCTACAAGCCTACTTCTTGCCCAGAGAGAACCACTGTTATCAGTCCATAGTGTGGCCTTCCAAGCCCTTTTTTCTTACATGTGGTTTTGATTTGCATGAGATTTTTATTTTATTTTATTTTATTTTTTGTAGAGACAAGGTCTCATTATGTTGCCCAGACTGGTCTTGAACTCCTGACCTCATGGGATCCTCCCTCCTTGACCTCCCAAAGTACTGGGATTACCAGCATGAGCCACCATGCCCAGCCCTGAGACACTTATTTTGCCAATAAAAGCCCATGTGGTATTCTACTTTTTGACTGATAACAACCAACCTGTCTCTTAGATGTTTTCATGCCAGTATCATCTGAAAAGAGCATTGCCTCGGTTAGAAAATCACCTACACGCCCATTGGCAAAGGAGATAGTTAAATTCTGCTTCATGAGCACTTGAACTCCTGTGCAGAGAGAAGTCATCACCCAGCCAGTGGCTAGGATTAAATGAGGTAGGTAGGAGTGATTGTCAGACCCCACTGCCCCGACCCCTGATTGTCTACGCTTGGCCCCAACATCCTTCCTCAGGCTCGGACTTGGCACCTCTTCCTCAGGCCCCAAACCCCACCTCGTCTCCTTCACTCCCCACTCCACCCACTCTGGCCTGGCTTTGGGGCGAATGCAGAACACCCTGCCCTCTTCTTCACTGATTCTCAAAACAAGCCCACCAGCCCTTTGGATGTGAGGAGTCTGGAAACCCAGACTCCCAGCATGGACAAATGCTCACATCCCTGGTCTGCAGTTCCCACATTCCTCTGGGATGGCACTTCCTGAGAAGAGTTCACCCTGCCCTGACCACAAAATTTTTCCTTGTCATCAGACCCCATGGCCAGCACAAAACTTCAAGTGGGCAGTTTGCATCCATGAATCCCACAAGACCGAACCATTCCGTGTCCCTCAGCTTAGCCCAGCCCTGCAATGACTGCTTTGGGGATGTTTTCTCAGGGGCTGCTGAGTCCCAATGCTGCAGGCTAGGTTTGAGACTGGGTGTGTAATCTGGCCAGACTGTGGGCAGGAAACAGGAGCTGGAGCCTGGTGGTGACCGTGCTCTTTCGGGATGCCTAGATTTGCAGAGTATGGAAGGCCTGGGGCTTTTTTCAGACATAGAAAGACCCATCCAGCTTGAGCTTAAGGAACACTCAGTGTGAAAATCTGAAATAGAGCAGCTCCAGGGTAGTTGGGCAGGGCATGAGGCCACCCAGAACAGGCTAGATTTGCAGGTTTACTCACCCACAGAGGCCCAACCCATTGCAGGGGTTCCCAGACACTGTGCACAGAACAGTACTGGTCCATGACTTGTTAGGAACTGGTCCACACAGCAGGAGGTGAGCAGTGGGCAAGCGGAACTGTGTCTTCTGTCAGATCAGAGGTGGCATTAGATTCTCAAAGGAACAGGAACCGTATTGTGAACTGTGCATGCAACTAATCTAGGTTATGTGCTCCTTATGAAAATCTAATGTTGATGATCTCCCTACCCCACGGTCCATGGAAAAATTGTCTTCCACAAAACTGGTCCCTGATGCCAAAAAGGTTGGGGACTGCTGCTGTTGTGAAACCAGAGTAGTCATCAAGTAGAGCCAAGATGGTAGCTGAAAGTGTTGCAAAGGGTCAAGTCTGAAGAGGGCTGTAGGCAAACAGGAGTAAGCCAGCTCCCATGGGCAGACTCCGGCACAGTTCTCTGCCCCTCCCTGCCAGGCTTAGATCTCTGGTGGGCCCTCACTTCACCTTGTGCTCATCACACCGGATAATGACCATAAGTTGGCTGTGTCCTGCCTTCCTCCCTCACTGGACCCTGGTAAGAGGGGAGAGAAGTGTGACTCAACACAATGGCCGTGTATGGTCAGCCATGCTGCTTTCCATGAGAACTGAGGGGATGGGACCCAGAGGAGCATGCACAGCTGATGGATTGCCCTGGCTCCTGGGGCTGATGGGTTCTGATGCCCAGTTTAGACCTCACTCTCCAGAACACGAGTAATCTGCAGGGTGTCAGTGGCATCAGACTACAGTGTAGGGTCCTGGGGATGACAGGGAAGAAGGATGAAACCATGCTTCTTGGCCTTTCTCTTCTACTTGGGTTCCTGGCAATAGACCCAAACACCTGACCACTCTCCTGATGGATGCCTGACCTCTCAAGACCGGCAGTGAGTCACGTTGAGGTTATATACATGTCATCAAGGAGGTCCCAAGCCCAAATATCACTTTTTCAGAGTGACTTTTCCTAATCACCCTAAAAACCAGTTACCCCACCTCCTAGCTAGCTTATTAATGTAGGGAGTTTTTTCCATGTTACTTAGAATCAAAGTGATTGATTGATGGGGTCAGTATGTGTCTCCCTAACTAAGAGAGAATCCCCATGAGGGCAGAGAGTTTTTTCTGTTTTATTCCCTCCTGTAACCTCATTGCCTGGCACATACTATGTGGGTGAGAAAGTGGTGGGGAATTAATGCAGAGGAAGGAGGCAATCAATTAATGTCCACCCAAATGCAGAAGTCAACCCTCATCAGTGAGTTCTGGGAGCACCCTGGCCAGGAACACCCACGAAGGCCTTTTAAGAGTGATATTAACTCATCTGCCAGAGTTACAGGCACACATACTAACCAAAGGGGAGAGAGAAAGTTGAATTTGTTTTATTTTTTACACACCCACACAAAAAAAATGTTTTTTGGAAACTGTGGATCACAATGATCCTGTTCTTCCCATGACTGACCATGGCATTGGTGAGACCAGTTTCAGCCCCCAATGGAAACAGACGAACCCCAGATGCACTTAGCCCAATGGATGAGTCTCCAAATTAAACAAAGGAAGGAGGCTGGGCTGGGGGAATCTTGAGCAATTCCTTCGGACTCCTGGGATTTTTAAAAAAACCTAAAGAAGAAATCCACTAAGTCTTTTTCCCCCATCAAGTTCCCACAAGAGCATGACCTTCTTGAAGTCACGCACCATCGTGATGTATGGCACCCAGCAGGGCAATATGAAGACATGAGAAGAAGCCCAGGAACCAGACACCCTCAGCTCACGGAGGAGACTTCAGCTCCTCCTTGATTTTCACCCGGCCTTCCTCTTCAGGGGCAGTCCCCTTCCAGGGCTTGTCTTGGGAGGTTTCTCTGTAGAAAGTTCTGTTTCTCACACACCAGATTTTGAAGACTGAACACATAAAAGAATTCAAACTGTCTTGTTGATAATTTCTTTTATGTTGATTACATTGGTTATATGTTGAAACTGATGACATGTTGAAATATTCTCAATATATAGGGTTAAATAAAATATTTTTAAAAATTAAAAAAAAAAAGTTCTGTTTCTGTTTCTAATTGAAGGCTGGCATTCAAGTCAGAGGAAGGAGATATTAATCACCACAAGTGGATAGAGTTGGCCCCTCTGAGCTTTGTGAATTCCACACCGGAAAAACCAGTTCCTGCCGGAGCCCTGCGGAGGCAGCCTCTCCGCCGCCCCCAGCCGCGCGACTCTGAGGAGCAGCTCGCACCAGGTGGACGCCGCCATGGGCAAGGGAGACCCCAACAAACCGGGGGACAAGATGTCGTCATACGACTTCTCCGTGCAGACCTGCCAGGAGGAGCACAAGAAGAAGCACCCGGACTCGTCGGTCAACTTCGCCAAGTTGTCCAAGAAGTGCTCGGAGAGGTGGAAGACCATGTCCGCCAAGGAAAAGTCCAAGTTCGAAGACACGGCCAAGAGTGACAAGGCTCGCGACCACCGGGAGATGAAGAACTACGTCCCCCCCAAGGGCGACAAGAAGGGGAAGAAGAAGGACCCCAACGCGCCCAAGCGGCCGCCGTCCGCCTTCTTCCTGTTTTGCTCGGAGCATCGCCCGCAGATCAAGAGCGAGCACCCGGGCCTGTCCATCGGGGACACCGCCAAGAAGCTGGGCGAGATGCGGTCCGAGCAGTCGGCCAAGGACAAGCAGCCCTGCGAGCAGAAGGCCGCCAAGCTCAAGGAGAAGTACGAGAAGGATATTGCTGCCTGCCGTGCCGGGGGCAAAAGCGAGGCAGGAAAGAAGGGCCCGGGCAGGCCTACAGGCTCAAAGAAGAAGAGCGAACCAGAAGATGAGGAGGAGGAAGAGGTTGAAGATGAGGAGGAAGAGGACGAAGATGAAGAATAAATGCCTCTCCTTTAATGATGTGTGTGGAGTATGCGTGTGTGCTCAGGCAATTGTTTTGCTAAGAATGTGAATTCAAGTGCAGCTCAATATTAACTTCGGTATAAAAACTGTACAGATTTTTGTATAGCTGATAAGAGTCTTTGTAGAGGAAATACTTTAAAAAATACAGGTTGCAGTTTTTGAGGGGCTACTGCATACAGTTATACTTTAAAGCTTCTGATGTTGAATGTTCCTAAATATTTAATGGTTTCTTTAATTTCTTGACTTGTGTACGGTAGCACAGCAAACTTGTAGGAATTAGTATCAATAGTAAATTTGGGGTTTTTTAGGATGTTGCAGTTTGCTTTTTAAAAAATTTTGTAATAAAATTATGTATATTAAAAATAATAATAATAATAATAAAATAAATTCCACACCACCTCTTGTTCTGCAGCTGTGGGCCTCTTTACAGTGAGCTCTGCCAGAAACAAAAACCTTTCATCAGTACAGAAGCGAGTCCTCGCTACCTCTGGGTTTGGACTCCAGAAACGAGATGGAACGCGTTATTTTAGGGTGTTGCCAAGAGTCAGAGCCGTGGTTCCAGCAGCAAACTCAATTTCACTTGGCTTTTTACGTTTTTTAAAAATAAGGAATAACATTTTAGGCCACCAATTATCCTGTTGACATTTTATTTATTTATTTGGATCAAGACAGGTAATTTAGATTAAATTCACTCAGTGGGCTTTCAGTTATGGGAGAAGGGAAAATAAAATTTTTGTTACCAAAGAGATTTTGCATGCAAATACACACATGTGAGCATGCGCGCACAAACAAATGTAAACACACACACAGAACTCTATAACAAATCAAACAGAAGCATGCCATCTAGGATGAAAATGCACTCTCTAAGTCAGCAGTCCCCAACCTTTGGCATCGGTGACCGATTTCATGGATGACAATTTTTCCACGGACTTGGTGGGGGGGCAGGGTAGAGCATGGTTTCGGGATGATTCAAGTGTATCCCACTTACTGTACACTTTATTTCTATTATTATTGCATTATAATACATAATGAAATAATTATACATCTCACCATAATGCAGAATCAGTGGTCACCCTGGGCTTGTTTTCTTTAACTGGACAGTCCCATCTGGGGGTTATGGGAGACAGTGACACTCAAGTGTATTGCTTATGTCCAGTCTACTCCATAATCTCATTTTGGTTGTTGTCATTGCAGAAAACCCAGCTTCACAAAGATAGAATATTAGAAGTGGAAGCAGACTTTTTAGTGCTTTTGTGGCAATATCAGGATATTCCACCTTGACTTTAATACAGACTGTATGGAGATTTGAAGTTGTCTCAAATGTACTTTTAAGACCACTGTCATTTGCAATCTCAAGCAGTTGATCCTTTTCTAGCAAAGACAAAGGTGATTCACCTGGCTTATTCACAAAAGGGTTGCAGATTCATTTCTTCCCAGTTCAGGGGTCTTTTGTGGTTGGGAAATAATGCTCAAACTCTTTTGAAAGCTGAGATAGGTCATCATGCACCAGCTGGGAGGAAGAAGGCCCTGGCTCAGTCTCTTTCAAAATCTCTGCTAATGTATGAAACGTCAAAAGTCCCAATGTTCACTCAACACTCCCATGATTCCAGTTTGGCTTTGAATGTAGCCACTTCATCTGCTGACTTGAACACAGTTGTCGTTCTCTCCTAAAGTGACAGATTGAGTCGATTGAGCAGGTTAAACATGTCACACAAGTAAGCAAGTTTTGCAACCCATTCTGTGTCACTGAAACATGCTGCCAGTAGTGATTGTTTTTCTAAAAGAAATCTCTGGAGCAGTTCTCACATAACTCAGAAACTCTGGCCAGTGATCTACCTTTAGAAAGCCATCTCACCTCTGTATATTAGAGAAGATGTGTGTGTCCTGTGTCTATCTCCTCACAGATTTGCGCAAACAGATGTGAGTCAAGGACACACACTTTAATGTGGTTGATAATTTTAATCACATCCTGTAAAATGTTAAGTTCAAGTGACATTTTTCAGCTAGCCAGTATTTCTCTATGGATAACATAGTGCATAGACTCACATTCAGAAGCGACCTCTTTAACCTGAGCAGTGAAACCAGAAAGTCATCCAGTCATGGCAGCCACTCCCTCTGTGCATATCCTGACACAAAATGACCAATTCAGTTTCCCTGTTATGTAATCATTCAAAGACTTAAATAGTTCTACAGCTGTGGTATTGGTTGGCAACAAAAGTGCATATAACATAGCCTCATGCACATCCTCCTAAAAAATGTATCGCACAAAAACGAGCATTGTTGCCTTGTTGTCAACACCAGTAGACTCATCATGGATTGCATACCATGGTGACTCATTAATCCTCTCTAACAGTTGGACCTCAATATCCTCTGCTATTTCATCAATTCTCTAGTTACAGTGCTAGCCATATGGTGTCATAGTGCCACCTTTTGAACTGCAGCCTCTCCTAAAAGTTCAGGGCAAATGTCTTTGGCAGCAGGCAGGATCACCTCTTCACCAATAGTAAAGGGTTTCTTAGGTTTAGCAATGTGGTTTGTCACCAAGAATGATGCTCTCAGTATAGACACATTTGATGAAGTGATGGCCTCCAATCATTGCTTCTGTTCTTTGTGTTCGTTTTTCTTATTTTGAAAAACTCAAAGGTTTGTCTTTTAATGCAGGGTGCTTGGTCTCCATGTGGTGAAGCAGTTTGAAGGTTTCATGGCTTCTGTTGGATAGCCGGTCATCACAAGCTTGGAGAACGTGAATCACCTGTTGCAGTGAACCCGTAATTCTTGTTATTTTCTTTTCCTTTTTTTTTTTTCAGTTGGAGTCTCACTCCTTCGCCCGGGCTGGAGTGCAGTGGCACACATGTTCACGGCCACCCCGCATCAATCTGCTGGGCTCCAGCGATCCTTCCACCTCAGCCTTCCAAGTAACCAGAGCTACAGATGTGTACTACCATACCCAGCTATTTTTTATTTTATTGTAGAGATGAGATCTCACTAAGTTGCCTGGGCTGGTCTCGAACCCGTGAACCCAGGCAGTTCACTCGTCTCCGCCTCCCAAAGTGCTGGGATTACAGGCTGAGTCACTGAGTCCGGCTGGTATTTTCTTTTAAATGCAGTTTTCTTTTTGTTGGCATTCTTGGTCTTCTGCTGTCTCATTATTGGGTGTTTCTCCCTTTCCCAGAAAGCTCTCCAGCAACATTTATTTTTTACTCATTTTGGCTAGGGTTAGCTTGTGGGCTTACCAAAACTGTGACTGAGAACAGTGCACAGTGCAGGAAAGAGGTGCAGATGGAAATGGTAAATAAAATAATGGGAGGACCACATGCAGACTAAAATAAGTGTCAGATTCTGACTTAAAGTCTGCCACCAGATGCAACTGTACAATTGAAGCACATCAACTCTCTTGCCACTCACAGACAGGCTTTTGATAGGAATCTGCAAGCAATGGATTTATGTGGTCTCTGTGCAGTCAAACCTCACTGCTAATGTTAATCTGTATTTGCAGCCACACCCCAGCACTAGCTTTCACTGCCTCAGCTCCACCTCAAATCACCAGGCGTTTGATTCTCATGAGGAGTGCACAACCTAGAACCCTCACATGTGCAGTTCACAATAGGGTTTGTGTGTCTATGAGACTCTAATGCTGCCATTGATCTGACAGGAGGCAGAGCTCAGGTAGTAATGTGATGAGGAGCAACTATAAACACTGATGAAGCTTTGCTCTCTCACTCACCTCTTGCTGTGGGACCTATTCCTAACAGACCACAGAGCAATATTGGTCCATGGTCCAAGAGTTGGGGACCCCGGCTCTAAGTTACAAGAGAATGCTGTTTTAAATAATAGAAATAGAGGACATTTATTTGTAAATTTTCAAACATTTTCCCATAGGATAAAATCAAAGTAAAACAGAGTGGTACTATATGTAGCTGGAACATCTGGAAACATGGTCTTTTATTCAACAGATTGTTTATGGGGACCTACTGTGTGCATGAGTGAGCTCTATTTCTACTGAAGGGTGAAACAGATGGATTCATACTAGCTTGGATCAAATCCTGGGGACAGGACAAGGAACTGAATTGGATATTACATGAGAGGTGGGCAGCAGAAGGAAAATGACCTAAGGAGACCTTTCCAGGGAGAATGACCAGAAGCTTTCTGAACAAATGGAATGAGAAAGAAAAATGGGTGCCAATGAGGCACCATCAACTAATGAGAAAAATGAAAACATGAAAAAGATTTGTTGAATGAATGAAAGAACAGAGAGCTGGCAGTTGAGAGTTTTGAAGATGCCACCCAAAGGAAAAAGTGGCTCTAGAAAAGGGGGGGAAAGAGAGTGATGGCACTGACAAGAAGCCTCAGGGTCCCAAACGTGGTGGCAATGCAGTAAAGGTCAGACACATTCTTTGCGAAAAACTCAGCAAAATCATGGAAGCCATGGAAAAGTTAAAGTCTGGAATGAGAGTCAATGAAGTGGCTGCACAATATAGTGAAGATAAAGCTAGACAAGAGGGTGACTTGGGTTGGATGATCAGACTTTCATGGTGGGACCATTTCAAGAAGCAACATTTATTTGCCTTGCCTGTAAGAGGGATGGATAAGCCTGTGTTAACAGAACCACCAGTTAAGACAAAATTTGGATATCATTGTAGTTGAAGGAAGAAAATAAAATCATATGAAAGACTGAACAAGAAAGAAGGAAAGAAAGAAAGAAAGAAAGAAAGAAAGAAAGAAAGAACAGAGAGCCAGGTCATAGGTGGTAGAACGAGGAACCCAGCTAGTGACTTGACCCAAAATGACAAAGAAATGATATGACTTCTCAGATCCCATGCAGACCCATGACTCCAGGACATTTCTCTAACCACTCATAAATGTGTTCCTTCCAGCTGTTAAAAAAAAGTAGAGAAAATTTGGAGGGGAAAAAAGAGAAATATTGAAAACTGATTTTAGAAATCTTTCTAGCAAGGACTAGGCTGTAGGAATTCATTTCC